AATATGCTTATTGAAGCAGTGTTTATAATAGTGAAAAATTGAAACAACATAAATATCCAACAATAGGGAGAGGGAGGATGTGATTAAATAAATTATTTTACCTACATACAATGGGATATTCTGTAACCATTAAATAATGTTGTAGAATAATATTTAACAAAATAGGGGTCTGGCACAGTGGCTCACGCCTGTAATCCCAGCACTTTGGGAGGCCGAGGTGGGCGGATCACGAGGTCAGGAGATTGAGACCATCCTGGCTAACACGGTGAAACCCCGTCTCTACTAAAAATACAAAAATAAAAGCTGGGCATGGTGGCGGGCGCCTGTAGTCCCAGCTACTCTGGAGACTGAGGTAGGAGAATGGCGTGAACCCGGGAGGCGGAGCTTGCAGTGAGCTGAGATCTGGCCACTGCACTCCAGCTTGGGCAACAGAACGAGACTCCATCTCAAAAAAAAAAAAAAAAAAAAAAAATAAAAAAAAAAAGGAAATAGGCTATATTGTTAAATGAAAAAGCAGAACACAGAATACTACTGTTCTATCACATTGGGTATCTAGATACATAGAAAAAAGACTGGAAGGACATTCACACATCAAAATGGTAAGAATAGTAGTCTCTAGATGATGGAATAATGGTTGATTTTTGTGTTCTTTTTTGTCTTTATTTTCTACACTGAATGAGTATTACCTTTGTAATAAAAAATAACAAAAAAAAAATTTAAAGCTAAGAAAAATCCAGCCAAGCTTGAAAAAGTTGGCTTAGATGACTTTGAACTGTGTGTTTTGTTTCAAAATCTATTTATCTAACTTTGCTTCCCTATCCAACAGGGTGACACATCCGGAGACTACAGGAAAGTACTGCTTGTTCTCTGTGGAGGAGATGATTAAAATAAAAATCCCAGAAGGACGGGAGGATTCTCCACACTTTGAATTTTTTTAACTTCATTTTTCTACACTGCTATTATCATTATCTCAGAATGCTTATTTCCAATTAAAACGCCTACAGCTGCCTCCTAGGATATAGACTGTCTGTATTATTATTCGCCTATAATTAGTCATTATGATGCTTTAAAGCTGTACTTGCATTTCAAAGCTTATAAGACATAAATGGAGATTTAAAAATAGAAATAAAAATGTATTCCATGTTTTTAAAAGATTACTTTATACTTTGTGTTTCACAGACATTGAATATATTAAATTATTACATATTTTCTTTTCAGTGAAAAATTTTTTAAATGGAAAACTGTTCTAAAATCACTTTTTTCCCTAATCTAATTTTTAGAGTAGCTAGTATTTTCTTCATTTGAAATTGTAAGCATCTGGTTAGTAAGAACGCCCATCCAGTTTTCTATATTTCATAGTCAAAGCCTTGAAAGCATCTACAAATCTCTTTTTTTCGGTTTTGTCCATAGCATTAGTTGATCCTTACTAAGTTTTTCATGGGAGACTTCCTTCATCACATCTTATGTTGAAATCTCTTTCTGTAGTCAAAGTATACCAAAACCAATTTATCTGAACAAACTAAATTCTAAAGTGTGCTTATACAAACCATATACATCTGGTTACCAAACATAAATGCCGAACATTCCATATTATTATAGTTAATGTCTTAATCCAGCTTGCAAGTGAATGGAGAAAACAAATAAGCTTCAAACTAGGTATTCTGGGAATTATGTAATGTTCTGAATTTAGTTTGATATAAAGAAAACCTTTTTGTGCTAAAAATACTTTTTAAAATCTTTTTCAATTTTGTTGATTGTAGTAATTTCTGTTTGCACTGTGCCTTTCAACTCTAGAAACATTCTGAAGATGTACTTGGATTTAATTAAAAAGTTCACTTTGTATGAATGTGGAAAAATAATTTTAATTTTAAAATGGTGTCTTTAGGCTGGGGGCAGTGGCTCACGCCAGTAATCCCAGCACTTCGGGAGGCCAAGGTGGGTGGATTACCTGAGGTCAGGAGTTCAAGACCAGCCTGGCCAACATGGAGAAACCGCATCTCTACTAAAAATACAAAAATTAGCCGGCTGTGGTGGCAGGTGCCTGTAATCCCAGCCACTCAGGAGGCTGAGTCAGGGAGAATTGCTTGCACCCACGAGGCAGGAGGCGAAGGTTGCAGTGAGCCGAGATCATGGCAGCCTGGGCGACAGAGCGAGAAACCAAACCTTAAAGGGATGGGGAGGGGAGTGTTTTTAAAATGAGGTATAGTCTTTCTCTGATCCACTTTTCACCTTCTGAGGTTTTTCATCCCGACCCCTGAAAGGAGCTATTTTTGAAGGACTTGTGTTACTCAGTTTCTATAGGAATTAAAATATAAGGAAAAAAAATCACATATTTAGTCTTATGTGTGCCTACTAGCTAATGTTCACATATGCCAAACACTACTCAATATCATAAAATAATGTATGAACTTATTCTCTGGAAACGAGTGATGCTGTCTGCTCTAAGTAGACCATTTATATTAAATATCATAAATGTATAAAAGACATTTATATTATAGTAAGAATACTTGCCTTCTTTGTTCATTTTATAACATCCGTTGTATTTGGGTGGGTGGAATAATAAGAATTTTTAAGTTTTGTGTTGTTTATTATAAAAGCTACAGCTACTGGTAGAAGCTACTTATGTGAATATTTAGTCACTCCAGGTACTTACAGGAAATAATACTGCCATTTCAATGCCTTTCCAGAAGACCACAGAATCTCCAAATCAGCTTTATTTTGTCTTTGGAAGCACGGTGAATTTTTTGGTAGAAGTTTTATGTTTAAATGATACATAGGTTGGCCAAAATTTTAAAACAAATAGCATTTATTCACCAGAAGATTTCCAGAAGGTAGGATAAAGTCACCCTGGAGGAAAGTTTATCATATTGAATTAGCATGACTTTGAGATATAATTATGAAGTAACTTTGTTTTTCCCTCCCACTGTCCACTGACATTTATTCAGCGGGCCTAGTTCTTTTAGATGTAGATTCAGATAGAGAATAGAGTCGTAACTTTTCTGTTCACTCTTAGGTTTTAAAGTCCTACTGTGTAGTCCCTTAAGGTCATAAAACAGTGTCATTTTAGTAAGTAATATATCCAGTCAAAATTCCAAGCTTGATTTATAGTTGAGGCTTCTTCCCTCACTTACTTCTGGCTTACTGCCAGTAGGAAGCTGGTTTCTGGGGAAAGGGTGACCATGGGCTTCTCTTCTTTTTCCACCTAGGTTTCCTTCCACGTTCTTCCCCTGCCCCAACCTACCATGTCTGGGTTGTAGCAGAGCAGAGAGTTAAGGGGAGCAGGAAAGCTGTTACCTGACTGTCATTGCTGTAGTGGTAGAGGATCAGCCCTGCGTGACTCTGACAGACTAAAGTTGATTCTTGTGGGCATTCTTGTGGGTTCCTTTGTCGACCTCATCATGCTACTCACCTGCGGTTCCTTTGGCAAGGCAAATGTGTACTCCTTTTTCAGCCTCTAGGAATTTGGTGACTCTTTGAGGTTCTCAGTGCTGAAGTTCATTGCTTTCCTCCCAGACCTGTTGGGCAGGACCCAAGATGATCCCATCCCAGCTATCTCATGGTGGTCCACATCTGCTCCATGGGAAACACCTGCACGTTCTTTGTGCTGGCAAATTCTGTGTATGCAAGCTGATCCCTCTGCAGCCATCATTCTCCGCCTCCCACCTCCACCCCAAGCTGCCTCGGCTAGCCTCTCTCAGTTCAGATTTCTCATACATGAATCAGACATTAGTCCACTGGGGCCCTCAAACTACGTATACTGCCGATGGGAGTCTAAATTGGTACATTGATGCAATCAACCCAGAGAGTTATTTAGTAATAGCTAACAAAGCTGCAAATTTCCCAGCAAATTCACTTCTGGGAATCGGCTTGGCGAATCCATTGCACATGATGTTCATTGCTGCTCTGTAAAGCTGTTAAAGTAGAAATAACCTCTCTCACTAAGGAATATAAAAACAAATATGGTTCAGTCATTCAATGAACAGTGGAAATTATCTAGCAATTGACCAAATGGACAAATCTCGAGAGTATAATTTTGAGAGGAGAAAGGTGCACAGTGAGAGGTACAGCTATGATTCCGTTCCATGATATGTCTAAACATGCAAAAGAAAATATTTATGGGTACGCATATAAGGACATACATGGACATAATGATATACAACATTCTCAGCACAGTGATTGACACTGGGGAGGGAGACAGAATGAGATGGAGGAGGTACACAGGGGCTTCTGCCTATCTGTATTGTTCTATTTAAAAAGAATGAATCATTGATTACACCTCAATAAAGCGGAGAGGAAAAAAAGAATGAAACCAAGTATGATAAAATTTCAAGCTAGTGGTGGGTCCACAGGAGAAATATTTTTATTATTTTACTTAAAAAGTAACAGAAGGGAGTCAGGGAGTGAACGCTCGCTGTCCGGAGTCCATCACAAGAGCAGCTCCTCCAGGCAGACACTTGTCAATTTTGCTAGGGCCTCCTGAAGGCACTTTTTTGAGTACGGACAGTCATGGTGCCAGACCCTATTCGGACATCCCACTGGCACTTGATAGGAAAGAAAAGGAGTGCCGGGAACGTTCCCATAACTTAACGGGTTCCTTTCACGTCTACAGCAGGGTAGGGTTCCTGTTAAGGAAGCCCAGGAATCCAGCATAGCGCCTCATCCTAGGGCCTCTCTCACAGGAGGCCACGCCCAACAAAGCAGAGCGCGGCCCCAGCAAGCGCCGAGCTCCCGCAAGAAGACTAAATAGCTTCGGGGTTTTGCCACTTGCTTAGCACAGGCCCATAAGCACCGGGGGCTCAAGGCACCTTTGTAGAAAGAATGCGCGACTGAAGTCCCAAGTCTTGCCACTGCAAAGACGTGTGTGAACTACGGCTTAACATTGCGTCTACGCCTAAGTTCATGTTAGTAGGAGGCCAGGCCCACCGCAGCCCCGAAAACATCGGCCCGTACGAGCACGCCGCGTTGTGCGCAGGCTCCACCTGCCACGCACGCACGCCTGTCTTGCCCCGCCCCTTCCGGAGGCTCGCCACACGCATGCGCCCGCCAGCCCGCGCTTTGTTGCGAAAGCGAGGGGGCGAGGTTCTGCGGTGCTAGCGCGCGGAGCGACCAGAAGCTGCGGGCGGGGCGGAGGATGGAGGCTGTAGCGTCCGCTGCAACGGTTGGAGCTGCGCGTGAGAAGGTGGTGGTGTAGGCATCTGCGCTCGGGGAAGGCTGGCGGCGGCGGCCGGGCCATGGCGGGAGACCCCCTTCTCTGGGCTCCCTGAAGTCTCGGGGAGCCGTGACCCATGGGATCGTTGAGCAGCCGGGTGCTGCGCCAGCCTAGACGAGCCCTTGCCCAGCAGGCGCAGGGTGCCAGGGCGGGGGGCTCGGCCCGGAGGCCGGACACTGGAGACGATGCGGCGGGCCACGGCTTCTGTTACTGTCCGGGCAGCCACAAGCGCAAGCGGAGCAGCGGGGCCTTCTGCTACTGTCACCCTGACTCGGAGACGGATGAGGATGAGGAGGAGGGGGACGAGCAGCAGCGGCTCCTCAACACCCCTCGAAGGTACGTGGGGGCACGCACCCGCGCGGACCCGGACCCGCACCTGTTGGGCCTGGGGCCAAGCCGGCGCCCCGTGCGCTTGCGGGGTGCAGCGCTCTCCAGCCTGTGAAGAGGGGTCGTGCCCTTGACAAGTGAATGTGGAAGCCGGCCCGATGCCGGGCGGACGGGGGAGCGCCTTGGGAGACGCCTGGTATTCTGCATTTTTAACCACAGACGCTTCCAGGGTGTTGTTACAGCCCCAAGATGAGGATGAGAAACGCCAAGCCCGAGCTCGCGTCTCGTTAAACCTTAGAGACGCCCGGCTGGCTGGCCTTCCCAGTCCACCTTTGCCCTCTCAAGTGGGTAGCCGCAGACTAAGTTGTTTTGCATCCGGTTGCCTTAGTACAGACACTAAATGTAATCTCTGAAATGGGCACTCTTACTGTCGCCCACTCAGTGGAGGGGAAATAATTGCACACAGGAGTTCTCGTTAATCGTAAAGGTGAAGTTTATCAATAGTGTACATTTGTTCCTAACCAGGAACAGAGTTTGTGCAAGTTTCTAGTAGTTGAAGTCGTTGACCGTGGATGTACTGTATGTAGGGCGGTGCTGCTGCAGCTTGCTTAACTTTTTTTTTTTTTTTTTTTTTTTGATGAGTTGAAAGATGGAATATTGACTTGTGACCTGGAATTGGAATGTAGTTTATAGGTAGAATATATTCTTACACAAACAATTTGGTTTTTCTGCTTTTGTTTTTAAAGGTGATTTGGTAGGGTCACAGATGAAATTTTTTTAATGATTTCTTTTTCTTTTTTCTTTTTTTTTTTTTTTTTTGAGACGGAGTCTTGCTCTGTCGCCCAGGCTGGGGTGCAGTGGCTGGATCTCAGCGCACTGCAAGCTCCGCCTCCCGGGTTTACGCCATTCTCCTGCCTCAGCCTCCCGAGTAGCTGGGACTACAGGCACCCGCCACCTCGCCCCGCTAGTTTTTTGTATTTTTTAGTAGAGACGGGGTTTCACCGTGTTAGCCAGGATGGTCTCGATCTCTTGACCTCGGGATCCGCCCATCTCGGCCTCCCAAAGTGCTGGGATTACAGGCTTGAGCCACCGCGCCCGGCCTCTTTTTCTTTTTTTATTTTTCAGACAGAGCCTTGCTCTGTCACCCAGGCCGGAGTGCAGTGGTGCGATCTCAACTCACTGCAACCTCCACTTCCTGGTTCAAGCGATTCTTGCGCCTCAGCCTCCCACGTAGCTGGGACTACAGACACGCACCACCATGCCTGGCTAATGTTTTCTATTTTTAGTAGAGACGGGTTTCATCCTGTTGGCCAAGCTTGTCTCAAACTCCCAACCTCAGGTGATCTGCTGGCCTCATCCTCCCAAAGTGCTGGAATTATAGGCGTGAGCCACTGCGCACCCAGCGTAAAATTAAACTTTATGAGCAGATTCAAAAAGGTTTTGCTATACAAGTGTTACATATTGTAAAAAAGGAATCATAGATTAAAAACTCAATAGTTTGGTTTATAAAACCTTTTGTACCTTTTTTAATGAATATTTTTATTTATTTACAAAACTGGACCCTTACTGTGAATACTATTCAGTAACTTTTTTTGTTGTTTATTTGATTTTTGGAGTTTTTTTCTGAAGAGACAGGGGTCTCACTATATTGCCCAGGGTGGTCTCAAACACCTGGGCTGAAGCGATCCTCCCACCTCAGCCTCCCAAAGTGCTCAGATTACAGGTGTGAGCCACCATGCCTGACCCTGTAACCTTTTTGAAGAGTCAGTGTAGCATAGTTTTTTTTTTTGGAAAAATTTTTTTCTTTTTTGAGACAGGGTCTCGCTCTGTCGCCCAGGCTGGAATGCAGTGGTGGGATCATGGCTCACTCTACCTCGACCTCACAGACTCAGGCAATTCTCCCACCTCAGCCTTCTGTGTAGCTGAGACCACAGGCATGCACCACCACACCCAGCTAATTTTTTTATTTGTAGAAACAAGGTCTCACTCTGTTGCCCACCCAGGCTGGCCTTGAACTCCTGGGTTCAAGTGATCCTCTTGCCTTGACCTCCCAAAGTGTTGGGATTACAGGTGTGAGCCACCGTTGCCAACCTGTAGCATAGTTTTAAGAGTTCAAATTCTGAGTTCTTGGCCAGGCGCAGTGGCTCATGCCTATAATCCCAGCACTTTGGGAGACTGAGGCAGACAGATCACCTGAGGTCAGGAGTTCAAAACCAGCCTGGCCAACATGGCGAAACTCTGTCTCTACTAAAAATATAAAAATTAACCGGGCATGGTGGCAGGCGCCTGTAATCCCAGCTACTTGGTACGCTGAGGCAGAAGAATGGCTTGAACCTGGGAGGCGAGGTTGCAGTGAGCCGAGATTGCAGTGAGCCGAGATGGCACAACTGCACTCCAGTCTGGGTGACAAAGTGAGACTCCATCTCAAAAAAAAAAAAAAAAATTCTGACTTCTTGTCTGTATTCTGCACTTAATAGCCTTATTTTCCTCATATGTAAATTGGAGATATAAATACCTGCCTTTTAGGCTTTGACAAATATGAGAACAAACAAATGCACAATGTCTAGCATGTAAGCATGCAGTAAATATGTCTCCTTGATGAACTGGCCCCTTTATCACAACAAAATGTTCATCCTTCTTTATCCCTAGTAATTTAGCCACTACCACATACATGTATTTATTTATTTATTTATATTTAGTGGGTACAGGTGCAGGTTTCTTACATGCATATAACGAGTAGTGGTGAAGTCTGGGATTGTAGTGTATCCATCAGCCACTTTCTTTTGATAAATGTCTGAATATCTCATTTTCTCTCCTTTCACTTTTTACCTGTGTATATTTAAAATAGATATCATGTAAACAGCATATAGTTGAGTCTTGCTTCTTTTATCCAACAGGACAATCTAACCTTTCAATTAGTAGTTAGACCACTTATATTTAATGTAATTATTGAAATATACGTCACAGTGCATTTGAAGGAGAGAAATCACACAGCAATTTGAATACAGGAAATTTAATATAAACATTATTAACAAGGCACAGAGAATTAACTACTGAGGACAAAATGCTAAGGTAAAAAGATCTCTAGAAAATACATGGAGTCGTCAGTACTTCTAAGGCTGAGTCAGAATAGCCACAGAAGGAACTAATTTGGAATAGGTGCCCCCAACCCTTTACCAAGCTAAGATTCAGATGATGTTAAAGGAGGTGTGGCTGTAGCCCACTGGATGGTGGAAAAGTTTGCTCAGGTGCGGTAGGCTGAGGCTGGCAAGCAGGACACTGCCTACTAGGATGCCAACAAAATTATTTGGAGGCATTTTGGCCCAGAAGGCCAAAGATATTAACTATCTAGACCTTTACAGAAAAAGTGTACCAACTCCTAGACTACATAAGTAGACTGGAATGGAAAGTTTTTAAAGCAAATCTTTATCAGAAAATACGTATCAGAGTTTAGTGTGTGTATATTACTGAAGATGCTTGGATTGTTCAGCCCAGTACGGATGCAGGGTATAAGAAAACACTAAGATGGGCCAGGCGCGGTGGCTCACGCCTGTAATCCCAGCACTTTGGGAAACCAAGGCAAGCAGATCACTTTAGGCGAGGAGTTTGAGACTAGCCTGACCAACACAGTGAAACCCTGCCTCTACCAAAAAATACAAAAATTAGCCGGCCATGGTGGTGCGCGCCTGTATTCCTAGCTACTTGGGAGGCTAAGGCAGGAGAATTACCTGAACTCAGAAGGCAGAGGTTGTAGTGAGCCAAGATTGCGCCACTGCGCTCCAGCCTGGGAAACAGAGTGAGACCCTGTCTCAAAAACTAAATAAATAAAAATTTAAAAGAGAAAGCATTAAGATGTTGAATTTTGTGTGTTGGCCCTAGTATATTCTTCCTGAGGTTGTCTGGTGTGCCCTCCCACATCAACAGACCACCTTATGAGAAGTTTTAGCTTTTAGGCCCAACTTCCACCTCATACCTTTGTCAACATGTCAGGCATGTTTTACTTTTACGTTTACAAGACTGTTAAAACCCACACTGTTCTACAACCAGATCTTGAGTGTTTTGTCCACAGCTTGTCTCTAAAAAATTGAAACAACATTTACATACTTATAACTATGTAAATATTGTTTCTGAAGAGTTAAGTAGTGTGCTAGGATTATAAATCATACTTGGTGGGTCTGATGGGTCCAATGTCACAACCCCTTGTCTGTTCAAAGGGAGAAATTTTTCTAACCTCACAGTCATATGGAATCTTTTCTTATATTCCATCAAGTGCTTAAAGTCAGGCCCTGCTTTTGTTTGTATCTTATTTGGACCGTGCCTTTTTTTGTATTGCTTTTTTATTGTCCTAGAGTGTATAATGGCCTTTCCCCCACTCTTGACAAAGTAACAATATTCCTTCATCATGGCTTCAGATTTTTCTGAAAAAACACAGAAAAGTCTTTTGAAACACACTTTCATGGAATCCTTCTCTAAAACCTAGACCTCTTCCATCCTCCTGTTCCAATCTGGATTTGTCTGCTCTTATGCTGGGACTTCCTTTCACCCCATCTCTAGGATTGAATCCACTATTTTGTGTAGCCTGCATTTCTTTCTCACTCATTTTAGGAACTATTTAATACATCTCAAGTATTTTTCCAAGAAAGGGTGCAAAAGGGGATAATTTGTGCATATCTAAATATAAATTTAGTCTCTTTTACTTTATTCATCCTCTGTCTGGGTATGGAAATCTAAAATAACTTTCTTCATATCTTTGATGATACTGCTTCATTGTCTTCAGGCCTACAGTCTTGATGAAAAATTTGATCCTGGTGTAATTCTCTTTTCAGGTGACCATTTTTGCTCTCTGGAACTTGTGGAACTTTTTCTTTGGTATTTTGGGATTTAACTAGAATGTGCTTAAGTATGGGTCTTTTAATGGCCTTGGTACTTGTTCCTTATAATATGAAGACTCATATACCACCTTAGTTTTGGGAAATTTTTTTCCATTAATTTCTTCCGTAATTTCCTTTCTCTTGTTGTCTTTATTTTCTCTTTCTGGGATGCCTCTTAACTGGATTCTGGATTTCTTGGATTATGCATCTGTCTCTTCTTTTTTCCTTTCTTCGTCTTTTTGCTTTATGTTCTGGGAAATCTCCTTTAACTTTTTCATTACTATCATTAGGTTGTTTGGCCCTAACTATGAGGTATTTCTTTCGGACCAGGAGTGAAAATTACTAAAACATGAAATGTGCTGTGATCCATGAAAGCTTGGGAACCTCTGCTCTACAAAGCGTGCCCCACCTATAACCAAGTTAATAGTCTTCTTACTCAAAGAAGAGGTACATTGGAAATAGATCTATTTACTCAAAACACCATACACCAGTTACTCATTCTTCAATGTAAGTGGACAAGCAAGGAAGGATCACCCAACATGAGGAAGAAAAACAAACAAACCATTCTTTCTTTTAATAAAAAAAATAAATTTTTTAAAATTTCAGTAATCATGTCTTTAGTCTCTAAAAGCTCTTTCTTGTTCTGAGTCATCCTTTATCATAGCATCCTACGGGGTGAATATAATAATCTCAGATCTCTAGGTATACTAGTGAGAGGGTTTTTTATTCCTCTCTTTTCCCTGAATTATATGTTTCCAGGGATGTAGGGAGCTTCTCTCTCTCTCTCTCTCTCTCTCTCTCTCTGTCTCTCTCTCTGTCTCTCTGTCTCTCAGTCTCTCATATGCTCTTATTCTTCCTCATGTTGGGTGATCCTTCCTTGCTTGTCCACTTACATTGAAGAATGAGTAACTGGTGTATGGTGTTTTGAGTAAATAGATCTATTTCCAATGTACCTCTTCTTTGAGTAAGAAGACTACTAACTTGGTTATAGGTGGGGCATGCTTTGTAGAGCAGAGGTTCCCAAGCTTTCATGGATCACAGCACATTTCATGTTTTAGTAATTTTCACCCCTAGTCCAAAAGAAATACTTCATAGTTAGGGCCAAACAACCTAATGATAGCAGATTGCATGGTATCTGAAAGATGTTACTGTGTTTCCTTCAAATTTAAAATATTCCACATGCCTCTCTGAGTTGTCTGTGGTGCTCTAAGTTCAGATGGTATCCTGAACTGGTGAATTTCACACACAGTTTGGGAACCATGACTCAGGGTGAATGGATTGGGAGTGAACAGGCCACAGATTCTTTAAATTTCAGAATGAGAATTGCTTTGTCTGGGCACCAGCAGCTACACTACAGCCTTAGATCTTCCATTAGCTTTGTGCTGTTTCTAGAAAAGCCTTGGAATATTTTTGCCTCAGTATCTGTACTCTCCTTATCTATAATCTGTGTTCATAGAGTGGAGAAGGCACTAATTTCCCCATTTTCTGCCCCTCTTCTTTCTTCTGCCTTTGTTTCCCTGAGGCCTCATCCTACTTTTCTCCCAAGGGTTCTAACGGGAAGATAAGCTTAGCCTCCATCCTAGCCCTCCATAATGTATTATTTGGCTATGGCTTTCACTGTTCTTTTTCATTTGAATTTATTTTCTAACTTTCAGATCTGTGTAAATCTCTCATCAAGTATCGAGTCTACCCTTTACCTTTTCCTGGTGTGGACTTATTCCTTTTTGTACTCTTAATCTTTAATGTAATTTGGGGAGGGATGGGAAGCCAACATGTGTACATTCTGCTATCAGGAACTGGAAACTACATTGTCTCTTGATTTCTTATCATAATCAATGAAGTGGGTACTATTAATGTCCTCTTTTTACAGCTGTGATAACTGAACAGGGGGGCAGCTGGGACTCAAACCCAAGTCTGTTACCACTAAGGCATGTGCTGTTTTTATTGTTGGCTAGGAAGAGGTGTTAAGTACACAGGTGTTAAATTCACCGGTTCAGGATGTCATCTGAAACAATTACTTCATTTTTAAAAAGAGATTGAGGGCCGGGCGCAGTGGCTCAAGCCTGTAATCCCAGCACTTTGGGAGGCTGAGACGGGTGGATCACGAGGTCAGGAGATCGAGTCCATCCTGGCTAACACAGTGAAACCCCGTCTCTACTAAAAAATACAAAAAAAAACTAGCCGGGCGAGGTGGCGGTCGCCTGTAGTCCCAGCTACT